CCCTTCGCTCCCTTCGCTCCCTTCGCTCCCTTCGCTCCCTTCGCTCCCTTCGCTCCCTTCGCTCCCTTCGCTCCCTTCGCTCCCTTCGCTCCCTTCGCTCGCTCCTGCATTTTGGCTTTTGGCTTGAGCAGCGGGAGCTCTCGAGCGGGAGCGGGTCTGAGGTGCGGCCTTTGGACTGGGACTCGAGTCACCAGGGGCTGCTGGAGGGCACCATGACCCGCAAAGGCGCCCAGCCCGGCCCCCCGGTTCCACGCGCTCGCTTGACAGCACAGCGACATGGCGAGTTGCGACGACGCGAAAAGGAGAAACACGAGAGAGAGCTGAGAGCTGAGAGAGAATGGCGAGCTGAGTGGGGACGCCAGGCGGTTGCTGAAAATGCTGGACCCACGTGGACAGACTCCAGACAGAGAGATTGCCGCTCAGCCATGTGTTGAATTTGCCGATCACTACTTCGTAGATGCTGAATTACTTCGTATCACTATATCCTTGGCACATCGCCAGGATCTCATGGACCCGCAGTTCCAAGCTCCTCCAGATGGTGGGTTGTTCAAGACTGAAGCAGAAGCAAACAGAAGCGGAGAACAAGGGAGTATGAATGTGAGAGTATGTTGTATCATCCGTAGCATGATAAGCTTGATAATTCTTGGATAATTCATTTGTCAGCTGTTACTTTCCGAGTTTCACGAGGTAGCGAGCCGATGGTGGAGGGGTCCCCAGTGCGAGTCTCTCCGGACTGCACTGTCAAAGACGCCCGGGCGCTGAGAAAAGTCGCAAAGGTTCGGTGAATGAACAAATTGCAAGCTGAGAAGGACCCGGTTGAGGTGTCACATTCGTGCCGCGTACATGACTCTGAGTGTCGCCAATCTGCCTCGCTCGGACCCACCAGAGGTCTACCTGCTGATGAAAGTCGTGCGGATGCCGAAGAGTTGAGTCGAACCAGATTCGGGCAGTTTTTGCGGAGTTTTTCTCCTTTTTTTTTTTTTTCTTCCCCCCGTTACCCCTTTCCTATGCATCTCCCCTACTCCCGATGCCCACTCTAAAGGAGGTATTCACACTGGAAAACCTGGCGCTTGAAGCTATGCACTGAAGAAAGCAGGTGTTTGGAGTAGGGAGTACACGAGACAGATGTGGAGTGAGTAGCGCACTATTGAAAGGAACAAGAGAAGTGATTGCAAGTAAACTTCAGGCTGAAAGCGATGGTGTGGTGTACGTGACGGACCGGGGAATTCTGCCTGGCGCCCAAAATCCTTGGGCCACATCGCAGCTTTGGGCTCGAGGCAGGGCACCATCACGCTGACCACCCTCATGAGCCGCGAGGCCGGGGACCCGTGTTAATGAAACTGTTAGAACTGTCAATGTAATGTCTGTAGTGTGTTCGTGTCTTAGTGTCTTAGTGTAGTGTGTTTACACCTGTTTTTTCTCGTTATACTGAACGCTGTTAGCCTCGCCCAGATTTGAAGATCCGCGACGTGACGAAGGCTGAGATGTGAAGTGCTAATGACCAATGGATTTTCCCGTGTCCAAAATGCTCGCCGCAATGTCTGTCGTTTGCAGGCGGGGAAGGGAGGTTTCCCGAATACGCCAGAGTTCGTGCATCAGTGTCACAGTTGAAACCGCAATCTTCACCGGTTCTGGCGTGTTCAAGCTTGCCAAAGTCAAGCTTGAAAGTTATCGGAGACATGTTCAAGTTGTCCGCGCTTTGGCCATACAAATCCTTTCAGCTCTGATGCAGCCAGCCAATGCTGAACATGCAAAACTGCTGGGGATTTGGCGTATGAGCATTTTGCCATGCTATGTCAGGCCTACACATAACAATCGTGGGAAACTGTGTGTGCAAAATGCGCCAACTGCAGAATTCTGCGACAGATTCAATGCATTCAGCCCTTGCCAAAACATCGCCTGTTGGTGTGTCAGAAAGCTAAGAGAGACTGCGTCTCTGATGGGCGGCAATACGCTGGGCCACATTGTAGTGGCCACGCCTGGCCGCGTGCTTGACCTTGCCAACAAGAATGTTTGCAACCTGAAGCAGTGTCACATGGTTGCCATGGATGAAGCTGACAAGCTCCCGTGCCCCGAAATCCAGCCGATCATAGAGGACCTCATCAAGTTCCTGACCCCAGACAGACAGATCCTGATGTATTCTGCAACTTTTCCAATCACAATCTTGGACTTCAAAAACCGGTTTATGGCTGACGCGCACGAGATCAACTTGATCAAAGAGCTCACCCGGTGTCTCGCAGTTCTATGCCTTCGTGGAGCCGCAGAAGGTTCACTGCCTCAACACTTTGTTCTCCAAGTTGCAGATCAATCATGCTATCATTTTCTGCTCCGTGACCCGTGTGTAGCTCTTGGCAAAGAAGATCACAGAGCTTGGGTACTCATGCTTCTTCATTCACTCTTGCATGAAACAATCCCACAGAAATCGTGTCTTTCACGACTTTAGGAACCGAGCCTGCCAGTGTTTGGTGTCTTCTGACATTTTCACCCGCGGCATCGACATCCAGTCTGTGAATGTGGTCATCAACTTTGACTCACCCAAGAACTCTGAGACTTACTTGCATCGCGTCGGTCGTTCTGGCCGCTTTGGCCACTTGGGGCTGGGGATCAATGTTGTGACTTATGACGACTGACCCAACCTCAACGGCATCAAGGGCGAGTTCTGCACGAAGAACATGCCAGTGAATCAAACAGAGCCCGGCCCATGCCTGCCTGGCAAGGCAGGCCCCCTCTTTGTTTTTGTCGTGCTTGCTTGATTGTTTTCTTTGTTTTCCCCAGGATCAAAGATACATTCACATCATTCACCTCACGGGTACACCGTGTGACTGCAGCAAAGAGAGCGCTTCCTTCAGCCAGGCTCCTCCGCCACTTCAGTCTGCCAGAGACTGAATATTTTTCCATGTCCATTAGGGGAACAGCAAATATTGACTTCGTGCTGAAACCCCTTCCCCCATGAATCTGCTGCTGGCTCCCTGTGCAAGGCCAACTCTCGGCGCAAACATCGCGTCAAGGGGAAAAAGGCGGAGCGGCGGTCGAGATGAGTGCAGTTTGGCCATTGGACGCCAGGTGGATCCCTCCAAGCTTGGCTTCACGGTAGCGCCGCGCAGCCACTATAAGAGCTGAGATCCTTTGCTGCCGCTTAAGCTGCCCACAGGGGCATGTGTTGTAACAATAGCTGCTCCGGTCTGAGCCAAAGCCAGTCGCAAGCTGAATACGGCGTTGTAGCTGGAGGGCTGGACGCATCTCACCATTAGCTCCTCAATGTGAATTGCCAGTACCAAAGAGGAAAAGCGCAAAAAGTTCTTCGACCCGAAGGACGTGTTGGACAGCTGGTCATAGGAGGATCCTCTGTTGGCAACTGACTTATTCTGCTTTTGCCAAGGTGGACGTCATTTACCATCTGGGCTGTCAGTGTAGATCCCTTGTTGTGATGTAGTGCCTGTGTGGGTACGGGTTTCACCGTGATTACAGAGGAGCCGTCACGACCACATCATGCTTTGAAAGTGAGAAATCGACTGGTGCCCTCGTGCCCTTGACACGTGTTTACATCAGGAGATTGCAGGCCCTTGCGGGCTGTGGCTGGGGGACTGAAGGGAGGCAGCCTCAACGACCAGGGCTGTTTCGATGACGATACGGTTCGGTACCGCAAGCTCCACGATACCACTCGATTTTATTGATATGTATTGCTTTGAATATCCGATAAACTTGCGATACAGCAGGGGAGTATTGAACAATATCTCGATAAAGGAATATACTCAACCGCTGCGGCGGCGTTGCGGCTGCGCGCTGGTGTGCAAGCTGCCTGCCAACAGGCCGGGAACCTTGAATTCGGCGTGTTGTGTCGCCAAAAGCCCGAAAGAAGCAAGAATTGAGCCTGCACCTCTGCAGGTGCCAGAGCCAGAGACGACCCACTACACCAAAGTACTCTTACAAGCTTCCTCAAAAAAAGGTCTTTCGACGACATTAATTTTGGTCCGAGTGGTTGCAGCTGTCCTGGATGAGCACTTCCCGAACCCTCAAAAACGATCTAACTTGCCGAGTTAAGTTGATTTCTGGCCTTGGCTGGTTGCAGCTGTCCTGGATGAGCCCTAAGAGTGAACCCTCACAAACGATCTAACTCGCCGAGTTAGGTTGATTTCTGGCCTCGGCTGGTTGCAGCTGTCCCGGATGAGCCCTGAGAAGTGGGAACCCTCAAAAACGATCTAACTCGCCGAGTTAGGTTGATTTCTGGCCTTGGCTGGTTGCAGCTGTCCCGGATGAGCCCTGAGAAGTGGGAACCCTCAAAAACGATCTAACTCGCCGAGTTAGGTTGATTTCTGGCCTTGGCTGGTTGCAGCTGTCCCGGATGAGCCCTGAGAAGTGGGAACCCTCAAAAACGATCTAACTCGCCGAGTTAGGTTGATTTCTGGCCTCGGCTGGTTGCAGCTGTCCCGGATGAGCCCTGGGAAGTGGGAACCCTCAAAAACGATCTAACTCGCCGAGTTAGGTTGATTTCTGGCCTTGGCTGGTTGCAGCTGTCCCGGATGAGCCCTGAGAAGTGGGAACCCTCAAAAACGATCTAACTCGCCGAGTTAGGTTGATTTCTGGCCTCGGCTGGTTGCAGCTGTCCGGATGAGCCCTGGGAAGTGTTCAACATGGAATCGGCTTGAAGCAGTCTCAGTCTGTTTTCTTGGCTTTCCATTTCTCCAAAGAGGGTCTCTTCTAAGCAGCCTCTCAAAGACTTTGCCAGCGCCTCCCGTGCCAGGCAGCCACCAGCACAGCAGCAGCTGGCTGCCGCCCTTCTGGCCCCAAAGGGCCCCTCAAAGCAAACCCCAACCGATACCGATACAAATCGGTATGATTCAAAACGATTTGCAGCGATAGTCTTCGATACGATGTGAGGTTGCGATACTTGCTTTTCGATACCGATAGCTCGCAATACGCAACGATACGATTCGGTATGTTGTATTTGTATTGTTGAAACGACCCTGACGACTATGCGAGACTTCAGCAATTGGAGCCAATGGTGCAACCTGCTTTACCAGGGCTTCTCACCCAAGTTGCCAGTGACGGGGCCACGCAGCTTGCAGAGGCCATGTGCCCCTCTGGGCCAACCAAGCTGATTTGCTCGAACGTGCTGCAGGTATGGAGATACCATGGCCCGCCAGGCCACATCAAGACTTTGGGGAACCAAAGTCCGCAAACCTCCCAAAGCATTCAGATGTCTCCTTGGCAGAGTGGGCTGGAACCATCGACTGACGCTAGGTCGCTTGGGCTTCGCTCTGGGGTCCTGTGCACAGTCTTCGTGCACGCCTGTTTCGCTTTGCTTGACCTGAGATTTACGGATCACCTCAAGACCGCCGAAGCGCGCGGCCATGAGGTCCACTTTCAATCCTCGGCACGGACATTCAGGCACCTTCTCCTGATCGTGGAGGTCTCACTGCACTTCTGTGCCTCCACATGACACTTCTCACAGCGGCTGACTTGGATGGCGCGGGCCGTCAGACGCTGACATGGATTGCGAGAGCAGTGGTGAGAGCAGTGGTATCTTCGGCTCGAGTTCGCCTCGGGCTTCGTGGCGATGTCGCAACTTCCGGGCCGAGCACCTGAAGCAGGGACCCAAGGGATCATCCACACCCTTGTTTTTGCAAGCGCCTCAATCGCCCTTGCCTCAACCCCAGTGAAGCCTTCGGCTTCCTTGTTGCTAAGTTTGCTATTTGGGTGATTTGGCGTTGTTGGCAAGAATCCTCCCACGTTCAAGTTGATGAATTGGCTCGGCCGGTCTCCCCACAGTTCCCAGCTGAGTTTGTCCCAGAGGGCTTAGCCAAACCCAGGCGGAGAAGCTGGTGGCGAATGCAGCATAGACTATAAAGGCAGCTGTGAGTTGCTGCATACCTCACCCAACGGTGGATGTTCTGCTTCTCAACTAATCCTTTCAGATTGACAGAGTGACAGAGGGTCAGGCCAAATCGCACTGTAGGTTTTGATGGTGCCAGATGGCTCAGCAGGCTGCTCCAAGTGCAAAGATGGATGGTTTGCTCAAGCTTTTAGTAGAAACAGGATTCGAGGCATGCACAGGTCGCCTGCAGGATGCAATGGCTTCTTCCGCACAAGCACAACACAGAATGCTTGGCCTCTAGACAATGGAAAGCAAACAATTGTCCTTGCTGCTAAGCTGCTTCGGATTGCATGTTCAAACTGGATTCCCAAGTGCCACAAACAAGTAATTGCTCAAGGAATTAGAGGCACAGCCGGCACAGCCACTTCCAGACGCCTCGGCGTGTTCCGTCAGCATGGAAGGGTGCTGCCTGCGTACCTTGATAGACATCATCCTGTGGACAGAGGTACAATTTCTGGTCACTCTTTCGGCTATGAGAAACAAAGAAAAATATGATTCATCCCCACAGCATGATTCATCCCCACAGCACGCAGAGATCCGCTGGAACATCGCAGTTTGTTAACACAGTTGTACCTTTCAAATCGGTAGTTTGAGTATCCCATTGTGGCGTGACAAGCTTGGATCGCTGAAGCACCTCGCCAGACATTCTTGTCCACTCAATCAAAAATCCACCTGGTTTGTCATGCATGGAGTCAACTTGGACTCTTCCCCACAACCAGCAACCAACCACAGTGGGTAAACGCCTGTCCCTCGTTGGATTAAGTTTTCGCCTGGATGGGGAAATGCGGGACTAGGACGATGACAATGCGTGCTGGTTCCAATAGATTGTCTTGATCAGGGCACTTCCCGACGCAGAACATGGCCCTGTACGAGCTGCTGCTCCGACAACTGCAGGAGCACGCGGGGGACAATGTGGGCCGTGGCGAAATCACACGGTTTGTTCCAGGTTTTGTCCACGTGGCTGGTCATGAACCTGTTCGCGAGGGCTTTTGGATCCTTGTCGCTGCAAGAATCCCTGTTCAGGGAACCACGACTGCAAACTAGGAGTTGGGCAGCCCGAAAACCTGTGGGCCTGTTCCAAAAACGGTCTCAGACAGACCCTTTTACACATAGGTCCCAAACCCAAAATGTCTCAAACCCAGCACTCCTTTCGGTTTGGTTCGTCAAGGTACACCTGGCTCCAACGGAAGCCCACCAACATCCGCTCACCCTGGCTGCGAGGTGCACGAGCCTTCGCCCAAGACGGCGGAGGGCCGACAGCTCATGGAGAAAGCGCCTGGGGCTGAGTGGCCGTGCCTCAAAAGGGGCGGGTGCCAAAGGGAAACTTGGGAGGTAACGGGGCAATGCGGCAAGACCCACAGCAGGGACAGCTTGTTTTTCCGGGAGCTACGGAGCTACAGGAGGCCGAGCTGACCCAAGCTTCAGTGGCTCAGGAAAGCCAAACAGCAGGCCGCAAGCTGAGTTGGCAACAGGAAGCCACCAGAGCCCGTGGGCAGGAGTCCTCGCTGCCCTTCTTTTTCGACAATGAACCAAAAAGGTGACGAACTTGAAGCCACCAAAATAAAAACGCCCTGACAGGACCATTCTGGAGAGGCCTATGGCTGAAGACCAGAAGGCCCATGACCCAGTTGCCTGTCTCTGGTGGTGCATCCAGCCACGTCCGAGGACACTTCAGAGGCTGGGTCCAGTTTTATGCCTCAGGCCATGAAGCAGCTATATCTGTTAGGATATTCTTTAGGATCAGGTATTGCGTACCAGTGAGGACCCAATGAGTTTCCAGCACGCCTTTTGTATCACATGCTGCACATCCAGGAGACTTAGTGAAGACGCCAATGGATCTGAATACCGAGTTCGGGTCTTGTGGCATGTTGTTTGCAGGTCAAGCAGTTCGTGCGCTCGTTAACATTTTGCTGTGTTGACCGAGGCTCGGATTCACCGACGGCCTTGTAGAGTTCACATCTATTTCTCTGACACTGGAGGTGGTCACCGGGCATCAGCTCTTTTTCATGGAGGCACTTCGAGTAATGCATTGGCCTTGCAACATCTGGCCGTGACAGGCTGCTTTTGCAGCGGCAGTATGGCAACAGGCTCATTTGCACAGGGTGCAGCGTGCCTTCCATTTCCCATGACGATTTGCTCGACAGGTGTCCATAGAGCTTGTCGATTTCATGCGGACAGCCATGCCTTGGCCACTGCGGGTGTCTTACAAAAGCCCCAGCTGGGCTTTTCTGTGAGCCCTTCTTCAGGTCCCAGGCGCCCGAAACATACTAGGCGAGAAGAGGCTTGACAGCAACACTTGGCGAGACACCAGAAGTTGCTTGCTTGGTCTCACATTCTGGACTTGCAGGCCACGCAGGTGATCAGATGATGTGGAGTTACAGCAAGGAGCAGGATACCTAGTCATTTGCAAATAGCTGACTGAGCTCGAAAACCGATTCATGTTGACTCTTGCAGGTCCATTCTGAAATGCTTCCAACATTGGGCCTGCGAGTTGGATCTCATCATCTCTGCCCATCCTTTGCCATTTGGCCCTTGGTCCTGCGCAATGAGCATGTTTCCTCCTCGAGAGAGAACTCTTCGGCATGGGCTCTCATTGGAGGCACTGCATTTCCTTCGTGTATGTCATCAAAGGAAGTTTAGAAGGAACTTCCGTGTTACGGCAACTAATTGAAAGCTAGCTCTCTGAGACAAATGATAAGAGAAGGAATAAGCCCCCGAGCAAAAAATGCGCGCGCGTGTGGCAGGGGAAGAGAAAGTCGCAACAAGCGTGGCCCTGTGCGTGAATCGGCGTCCCCGGAGATGAGAAAGTCGCCAAAAGCGTGGCCCTGTGCGTGAATTGGCGTCTCCGGAGATGCGAAAGCTAGCCTGTCCGCGGCGTCTGGTCGGAGCGGGGTCGGAGCGGGCTCGGAGCGGGCTCGGAGCATGCTCGGCGCCAGGCCCATTGGCACGGCAACGCAGAGGTTTTGCAAGGTCTGAATTGCGTGGCAGGCGCAGCAGTTTGGCAAGGTCGGGTGCAGATTTCGTGGCAGGCGCAGCACTTTTGCAGAGTCAAGTTTTCCCAAGGTTGGAATCGCGTGGCAGGCGCAGCACTTGCGAAAGGTCAGGTGCATTTTTTCGTGGCAGGCGCAACACTTTCGCAATGTCAAGTACAGATTTCGTGGCAGGCGCAGCACTTTCGCAAGGTCAAGTACAGATTTCGTGGCAGGCGCAGCACTTTCGCAAGGTCAAGTGCACAATTCGTGGCAGGCGCAGCACTTTCGCTACAGATAGATATATAAAAAGAGAGATAGATAGATAGACAGATAGACAGATAAAGAGAGAGAGAGAGAGAGGTAGAGATAGATAGATAGATAGATAGATGGAACAGTAGATAGTGAGAAAAGAGATAGATAGATAGATAGATAGAGAGACAGATAGATAGATAAAACGAGAGATAGATAGATAGATAGATAGATAGATAGATAGATAGAGAGATAGATAGAGAGAGAGAGAGATAGATCGATAGATAGAGAGAGAGAGAGATAGATAGATAGATCGATAGATAGATAGATTAGATGGAAAGTAGATGGTTAGAGAGAGATAGATGAACTAGACCACGGTTGGCCCGAAAGCAGAACATCGCAAGCGAGGTTGGCCCAACGCTGCAGGATGCGTTCTTTTTCCCTACACGAAGCATTCGTGAAGCAAGCGCGAGACAGCGCCAGGCAAGGTGCTCTGCGCAAACTGGTCGGTGCAAGTTGGTCTGCGCAAGTTGCTCTACGCAAGTTGCACTGTGCAAGTTGCTCTGCGCAAGTTGCTCCGCGCAAGTTGCTCCGGCAAGTTGGTCCCTGCAAGTGGCTCCCTGCAAGTTGCTCTGTGCAAATTGCGCTCCCTGCAAGTTGCTCTGTGCAAGCTGCTCTGTGCAAGTTGCTCTGTGCAAGTTGCTCTGCGTAAGTTGCTCTGCGCAAGTTGCTCTAGGCAAGGCGCTCTGCGCAAACTGGTCGGTGCAAGTTGGTCTGCGCAAGTTGCTCTGTGCAACTTGCTCTGCGCAAGTTGCTCTGCGCAAGTTGCTTTAAAATGCAAGTTGCATCTTGCGACGCCCGCCCGCGGACCAGGGAGGAATCGAACCCGCGACCCGCTGGTTCCGGGAGCAGGCGCGCGAACCGCGAAACAACTCCCGAGGACCAGTTCGAACAACAAAAGTCGCAAAAACCTCGAGTTTTTGCACCTCCACCACGCCGATTCCCGCAGAGGGTTGCGCGAGCACCGCAGGAATCGCAAAAAACCTCGAGTTTTTGCACCTCGACCACGCCGATCCCCGCAGAGGGTTGCGCGAGCACCGCAGAAATCGCAAAAACCTCGAGGTTTTGGCACCTCGACCACGCCGATCCCCGCAGAGGGTTGCGCGGGCACCGCAGAAATCGCAAAAAACCTTGAGTTTTTGCACCTCGACCACGCCGATCCCCGCAGAGGGTTGCGCGAGCACCGCAGAAATCGCAAAAAACCTCGAGTTTTTGCACCTCGACCACGCCGATCCGCGCAAAAAATCGCGCGGGAACTTTAGAAATCGCAACTAGACCACGGTTGGCCCGAAAGCAGAACATCGCAAGCGAGGTTGGCCCAACGCTGCAGGATGCGTTCTTTTTCCCTACACGAAGCATTCGTGAAGCAAGCGCGAGACAGCACCAGGTGCAAGTTGGTCTGCGCAAGTTGCTCTACGCAAGTTGCACTGTGCAAGTTGCTCTGCGCAAGTTGCTCCGCGCAAGTTGCTCCGGCAAGTTGGTCCCTGCAAGTGGCTCCCTGCAAGTTGCTCTGTGCAAATTGCGCTCCCTGAAAGTTGCTCTGTGCAAGCTGCTCTGTGCAAGTTGCTCTGTGCAAGTTGCTCTGCGTAAGTTGCTCTGCGCAAGTTGCTCTAGGCAAGGCGCTCTGCGCAAACTGGTCGGTGCAAGTTGGTCTGCGCAAGTTGCTCTGTGCAACTTGCTCTGCGCAAGTTGCTCTGCGCAAGTTGCTTTAAAATGCAAGTTGCATCTTGCGACGCCCGCCCGCGGACCAGGGAGGAATCGAACCCGCGACCCGCCGGTTCCGGGAGCAGGCGCGCGAACCACGAAACAATTCCCGAGGACCAGTTCGAACAACAAAAGTCGCAAAAACCTCGAGTTTTTGCACCTCCACCACGCCGATTCCCGCAGAGGGTTGCACGAGCACCGCAGAAATCGCAAAAAACCTCGAGTTTTTGCACCTCGACCACGCCGATCCCTTGCGCGGACACCGCTGAAATCGCAAAAATCCATGGGTTTTTGCACCTCGACCACGCCGATCCCCGCAGAGGGTCGATTTTCGTGCCCTTTCACGAAGTCCACTTTCCCAGCTGGGGCTCGAAAATCGCAACTTTTAAGTACGAAAGTGGTACGCGAAGCCCACTTTCGCAGCCGCGGCTCGAAAATTGCAACTTTGAAGTACGAAAGTAGTACGCGAAGTCCATTTTTCGCAGCTAGAGAGAGGAAGGAAGGAAGGAAGGAAGGAAGAAAGAAAGAAAGAAAGAAAGAAAAGAAGAAAGAAAGAAAGAAAGAAAGAAAGAAAGAAAGAAAGAAAGAAAGAAAGAAAGAAAGAAAGAAAGAAAATAAGAAAGAAAGAAAGAAAGAAAGAAAGAAAGAAAGAAAGGAAGGAAGGAAGGAAGGAAGAAAGAAAGAAAGAAAGAAAGAAAGAAAGAAAGAAAGAAAGAAAGAAAGAAAGAAATAAACACAAAAAGAAAGAAAGAAAGAAATAAAGAAAGACAGAAAGACAGAAAGAAAGAAAGAAAGAAAGAAAGAAATAAACACAAAAAGAAAGAAAGAAAAAGAAATAAAGAAAGACAGAAAGACAGAAAGAAATAAAGACAGACAGAAAGAAAGAAAGGAAGAAAGAAAAGAAAGAAATAATGCAACAAAGAAAGAAAGAAAGCAAGAAAGAAAGATAAGAAAGAAAGAAAGAGAGATAGATGGGTAGGTGAATAGATGAGATATATAGATAGCTAGATAGAAAGGAAGTAGGTCGAAAGATAGATAGATGGATAAATAGAAAGATAGAAAGAGATAGGTAGACAGACAGACAGACGACCAATTAGATAGGCAGATGCACAGACAGACAGATAGGTAGATGATGGAGAGATAGACAGATAGATAGATTGATTGAAAGAAAGCGAGAGAAAGAGAGAGAGAGGAACAGATCGATGGCGAGCTAGATAGATAGGTAGGTAACTAGACGGTTGGATCGAAAGATAGATGGTTGGATAGATCGGTAGATAGACATATAAGATGGTTCGATAGATAGATCGATAGATAGATACGACGATAGGTAGATTGACCAATAGATAGTTAGATAGATACAGAGATAGATCGACAGATAGATAAAAAGGCAGATAGAGAGATGGATAAATAGATAGAAAGAAAGGTAGGTAAATTGGTTTAAAGATAGACAGATAGAGAGAGGGGATGTTCAGAAGAACCTGGGTGTTCAGGCCGCGGGTGTGGAGTGCTGCACGGTGTTTGCGAAAAACATGCTGCGAAAAAAAGAGTGGGCGGCGCGGGGCGTGGTTGACAACAGTGCAGGCACACTTGAAAAAGACGCCGATGGGAGCGGGAAGAGATCGTCCGAGAAGTCTGAGGTGTTGGTCACGGTGAGCGTGTTGGACGCGAAGAGCTGCGGCGCGGAGACCGTGCCCGAGCTCGTCACGTCGCCGCACACCACGCTGCCCGTCGACACTCCGCCGCTCGTGGCCGTGAAGGTGCAGTCCAGGTTCTCGCAGTCCAGCGGGCCCGTGGAGGCCGCCCCGCTGACTGTCAGCGTGGCGCCCGTGAGCGCGCCGGTGGCTGCGAAAAAGAGAGAAGGACGGACAGAAAAGAAACAATGAACAGCAAGAAGGACAAAAATAGGAAGAGGAAAAGAACGAAGAAACAAGACGAACAGAACTATCGTGTTTATATTTTTGAAACTTCCGCCCACTGGCTTCGCCGGCTCTACTGGTAAGAGGGGCGAAACAGCACGTATCATGGTTTATCGGCGCTTGCAGACTCTGCATCGCCGCGTGTGGGCAGTTCGCCCTTTGTGAAATTGACATTGTATTTAATCACCTGGGGATATTGCAATCTCACCCACGCTACTAATGACTGTTCCAGGCAGATGACCTGTGCAGGGAAGCGTTGTTTTCAGCGGTGAGCTTTTTATGCCAGAGTAGGCCTCTTAGTTCAGTCTCATGGCCTTGCACGTCCATGCGTGTGATGCGAAGGCACAAGATGCGAGGGTCAAAACATTTGCCAATGCCGCCATTGGCTCTAGCTGCTAGCTGGGGGACGCCCTGTTGATGACCCCCAAGCAGATGAGAAAGTCACTGAAGGCGGGGGCGCTCTGCCTCAAGTGCCAGCATTGCAACGAGAAACACTCACGCCCAAGACATGTTTGCGTGTCTCTGTGTGTGCGTGCGTTCGTGCCTGCCTGGCTGCCTGCCTGCCTGCGTGCCTGCATGCCTGCGTGCCTGCGTGTCTGCGTGCGTACGTGCGTGGGTGGCCGACCAATTCGAAGAGCCCTGCTGCGCCCCATGACCAAGAACTTGGAAAACTTC